ATATTGCACGTCCTTTGTCAAGTTGGGCTGCTTCAATTCTTGTATGGCTTTGATTTGTGTGGGGTCCGCATCGATGCCTCAGCTTGTGACTAGGAAGCCTAGGAATTTCCCGGATCCCACGCCGAAGGCACAATTTGACGTATTCAGGAGTAACTTGTGCTGTTTAAGAATGGCGAACATCTCGGCTAGGTCGGATAAGTGGTCAGCCCGATGCCTGCTTTTGACCACCATGTCATCGATGTAAGCCTCCATCGTCCGGCCTAGCAGAGGAGCGAACATTTTGGTCACCATCCTTTGGAAAGTCGCCCCGGCGTTCTTCAAACTAAAATGCATGACTCGATAGCAGAATAGTCCCCTTGGGGTGGTGAAAGAGGTAATCTCGCAGTCGGGGCCATGCATGGCGATCTGGTGATAACCGCGATAGGCATCCAAGAAACTGAGCCTGTTATGCCCGGCCGTAAGATCCACCAGCTGGTCTATTATGGGCAAAGGAAAGTTGTCTTTAGGGCAAGCTCGGTTGACAGTCTTGTAATTAACGCAAACTCGACACTTCATATTCTTCTTGGGCACTACGACCGTGTTTGAAATCCACCGACGGTAGTGCAGTTCCTAGATAGCCCTTGCTTCTAGTAGTTCCTTACTTCCTCCACGACTACTTCGGCGTAATGGAGAGCCGATCTCCTCGTTCTTTGAATGATAGGGCGTGCATCCGGGAAAACATTAGTTGGTAGCAAATAAAGCTTGGATCAACGCCAAGCATGTCGTATGGCGTCCATGCAAAGACTTCGATATTCACCATCAAGAACTCTACCATCTCAGTCCTTTCTTGGGCGGTCAGGCTTGACCCTAGCAAAAAGAACTTGTTAGGACTCTCTGTGTCGATCCCTACTTCCACCAATTCCTCAACAGCCTTTTCCTCGGGCCTTGTGCCCACGTCATCAAGAACGCTTTGGTTTTCCAGACCTTCGATCATTTGAACGAAGCCTTTTGCAGCTCAGCTCCCGTTCACCACCACAAAACACTGCTTCGACATGACTTGATCGCCCCAAATCTCCTCAACTTTCCCCGTGGCCGAGAAGAACCTCATAACCTGGTGGTAGGTTGACGCTTTCGCTTGCATAGCGTGAAGCCATCCCCAATCGAGGATCAGATTGTATGTGGACGGCACCTTTAATACCCAGAACTCCACCTGCTTGACCACGGATCCAGCTTTGACCGGTAAGATTATCTTTCCCATAGGCCACTCCGATTGTGAGTTGAAACTAACTAGTGGCGAAGTTGCTAGAGCCAAATCTGTATCCCGGAGTTTGAGTTGCTTGAATGCGTCGTAGTATATAATCTCAACCGAGCTTCCTTGGTCAATCAAGATGCGCTTGACATCGAAGTCTCTGACGCGGAGGGTCACTACTAGGGCGTCGTTCTACGGCGTTTGAATGCGCTCTAGGTCCCTAGTTGAGAAACTAATCACATCTTTCTCCTCGGTCTTTTCCCTTTTGATCGCGGGCTGGACTGACAAAACTTCCCTCATATGTTCCGCCTTTTTGATCATTCCTCGGAGCTCGCATACACGCGCCGGCTCCACTATGCCGTGGATCACATTGACCACTCCTTGAGGGGGCGCCTCTAAGTCATCCGAACCACTCGAATCAGCCGGGGTGGGATGCGCGGCTTTAACGCCCCCATCAATATAAAGGTCTAAGTGACCAGCTGCGACTAACTCCTTCAAGTGTTACTTCAAAGGAAAACAGTCCTTTGTCTGGTGTCCTCGCTCCCTATGATATGTGCAGCGGTACCGCGGATTGAAGCCCTTTTGCGTATCGCCTAACTTAGCAGGAAACTGGACGTAATCCTCGTTGCGGATTTCACTAAGTATGCGATAGATTGGAATCTTAAATACCGTGGTGATGCCCGTCTGAGCGTTTAACCTTCTGTTAGCATCAACTACGTCATCGCGGGGATATTCTGCTCGATCATTGCGCCGACCTTTACCTCGATTTCGATGATTTGGTCCACAGTCAAATTCCCCGGCGCGATCATTTGGACGGTTAGTCTCCTGTCCGACCGCGTGTACCTTGCCAGCCGCCCTTTTGTCTGTTGCCACTGGAGTTGTCTTCGCAGTGGATGTCGCCGCAGCATCCTCTACTCGGATGTGCTCATTGATGCGTTGCATTAGTTTCCCCATGGACGTCGGCTGGTTAGCGAGTCCCTCAGCCTATGTCCGACCGGGAGACTGCGCTTATTGGGTAATTGCTAGGTTGATCGGGCAATCTAGGATCTCGTTGAAGGTTTCCCAGTACCTGGAGTTGTATGTCTTGAGGGTGTCACTCGACTCCATCTTGACACTAAGAAGGTGGTCCACTTCCTTTGGCGTTTTGGTGTTGGTTTTGAAATGCGTCACGAATGCTTCCGCCAACTGCTGCGACCTTTCGATGCTCTCCTCTGGCAGGCTCTCAAATCATTTCAAGCCCAACTCGCCCAAACTCGATGGGAAAATAAGGTACATGAGAGCGTCATTACGCCTGTGTCTGGCCATGACCTGCTGGAAGTGGCTTATATGCATGTACGGATCAGTTTTTTTGTCATAAAGCGTAAACTTGGCCTGGTAAAAGCCCGCTGGGAGCGGCGTGGTTTCGATCTCCAAGAAGAAGGGGATGGCGTTCAGTCTCGCCAAATCTGTGTCCAGAGGGACAGGCACGGCTCAACGGGGCGGTGGCATTATCACCTCCTCACTAGCATGACCCCCGTAAGATAGCTGCTGGAGCGCCGGCACCCTTTGAGCCTCTCGTCGACGAGCTCATTCTTTCAAGACAACCCGCAAGTCCTCTGAACGAACGGAGTAGGAATATCTCGACGTCGTCACCGGACGCGAGGGATGGTAGGTACTATCTTGCGCGCTGGACTTTTCTACAGGCGTGTCTGAGTCCCCAACCCTATAGCTTCTGGTGATAAAAAGGGAGGATGTGTACCGCTTGCTCTGGCTGCCTGAGCGGCGTGGTTGGGTGCGCTCACTGTGGTCCCCCACTCCAGCAACACCCTTCCCTTTGACCTGTCGTTTGAGAGCTTTCATCTCTGCTGCCATTCTCCGGATGACAGTGTCTTGGTCCCTTAACTTGTGCTCTAGACGTCTAACGTGCAATTCTCTTCACTGCCAGTGTTCGTCTGGGCTTCGTGAGTGACCAAAACTTCTAGCGCGCTTATCTCGTGCATCTCTTGGAAGTCCTCCTGGGGAAGTCTCCAGGTCCTCCATATTCGGAACGGCGGGGAGTCCATCTCTCCGCTTGGCTGACTCCGGGGTAACACCGTCAATGGCAGACAACGGTATTTCGTCGTTGTTCGCCATAGAAGGCGATCAGATGAGCTTGGAGGACAAGGTTATGTCTGCAAAAGGTTCCCACAGACGGCGCCAATTGCACAGGGAGGAGATATTCGTCGCTGTCCGCACTCCTTTCGTTCAAGCTCCATGTCTATCCGATCAACCTGAGAACACAACGGCGGTGAGCTACCTGGCGGTGTGTTGCCGGAAAACCCCTCCGACAGTCAAGTTAGTACACACTGTGAGAGAAAGAAAGAGAAGCTGAATGAATGTAAGTTTCTCTCACCGAATGATGTTCCATTCCCAGCATAGGGGGCGCAGTCATGCTTATATATTTTCTGAGCTCACCTCTGCATCCATTCGCTTATTGACACGTGGAGCTGCTCTCCCATCAATCAAAGCAAATCCAGCTAAACACCACCTAATTAAGCTGCCAGACAACATTAGCGGGAACGGGGCAGCCCGGCGGAATCACCTCGGCCTCATACGACTGTGCTACATAACGAGTCCGACGACGCCACTCGCCGAGCTCTAACACAACTGAGCACAGCAGCATGCCGGTACGACTGAGCTCCAGACAGGTTAAGCCGGTATTCAGAAGGCCTTTCCCGCCGAGCTAAATGTGTGAATCATGAAATCCGGGTTGGCAAACGATCATCTCGGCCAAGTTAGCTCGGCCCAAACATGGGACTTGGGACTCGACCGAGCAAACCAACTCCGGACAAGGCCAAGTTAGCTCTACCCAAACATGGGACCTGGGATTCGACCGAGCAAACCAACTTTGGACAAGCCCAAGTTAGCTCGGCCCAAACATGGGACTTGGGCCTCGACCGAGCACAACCAACTCTGGACTAGCCCAAGTTAGCTCGGCCCAAACATGCTTGGCTTCCACCACGGCTCGAAGCCAGATCATGAATCTCCCTCTCAATTACATAGGATGAAAAATTTTCAGGAATCATTTCGTAATATTTTTTTCATGATCCTTAGTATTGTTCTTTATGATACTATGAATAAATCAATTACATATCTAATGATTATGAAATAGAAATATAAATTTATAATTAATTAATTTATTTGCTGTATCTTTCGTGTCCTTTTATTTTATCTTGTTTTGTTAACTCCATAAATTATCTTATCTTTTTAAAATAATGTTAAATATCTTATCTAATCATTTCTTTTTTAAAATGCATTATTGTCTTTGTATTGTTAAAATTGCTACAAACATACTTATTTTAAAAAAATCCAAGTTATAATTGTCCCATGACTACGTGTACAAAATTAAAAAAAAAAATACACTACAAATTCTCAAAGAAATACTTAAATATTGATAAATATTCTTTTATTTACCCCACATTCATCTCTATCAAAAGAGAAAATAAATACAAATATAATGATCATAAAAGATTCTCCACCATTGTAAAGGATAAAAAAATTTCATTTTATGATATTATTTTTCATGATCTATAATATTATTATTTATGATATTATAGATGAATCGATTACATATCTAATGACTGTGAAATAAAAATATAAATTTATAATTATTTTTAATTAAGAAAATATCATTACACTTATCATTGGATGATATAATAGAGCCTCCCTATTATAATATATAATGAATTATAATAGAGGGAATCACAATCCAAACATAGATAATTTAAGTAAAACATAAAAAACAGAGCGAGAGTTGAAACACAACATGAGTTATTTTTGTCCCTTAACTATAGTGCATCCAAGTAGACATGCTCGATAAATGGTCATCTAAGTAGTGATGGTTTGCTCACTAAACCAGTGGTGACGCAAATCAGTGCTGATTTGGTTTGCTCCAAATCAGTGCTTCACTAAACATTGTTGTCACTCACTCACTATCCTCAGAATTGGGCAATGAAGACGCAATATGCTCAGCACTCCTCTCCTCTACTTGTTTTGTTCTTCTCTTTTGTTGCCTTTAATTTTTTGGCTAGCCACTCCGCTTTTGAGCGAAGCTCAACAATCTCTTTATCTAGTTCAATGAGAAAAGAATCTCCATCAACTCTTGCCCCTAGCATTTTTTTGCTCGCTACCATCGAAGAATTGTCTGTGGAAACACTTGGAAAAGCCTTTCTAGATGAACTAGTTGCCATGTCAACTTCCTGTTCATCAACTCCCTCTTCTTCCTCCACCATCTCTTCTATCGTCAAAGCCTTACTACTAGTGGACATGTCCAATTTTGTCTCCCCAAATTTGTATGCTCCTAGCATAGGGAATATCTAAGAAGCAACCGAAAAAATTGATCTAACAAAATTAATAGCAGTAGATATATTAGCTAAGCAGAACTTTAAATGAAACTAAACAAAACAAAGAACAAGAAGGAAGAATTGAATTAAAATGTTATTTTTCTTTTTATGGGAATATGTTGTCTTGCTTATCAGACATTTAGACAGAGACTAATCTAAAAATGTAATTACTACTATTTCATGTTCTGCATACCAATTTTGGCCCCTGTTACTTTTTATTAGATGTTGATTTTGATTGTGGATTTTTTAGTTTTATAAAATCGCAATAGTAAAAAAATTAATGAAACAAAACAAAAATCTGTCTCCTCTTCTTATCAGTCTGTACAGGTAAATAAACCTGAAAGTGCATGCATACCTCAGCGAGAAGGCAATGAACATGAGCAACGTAGTGGCATTCTTCACAATAGTAAGTAGGCTCTTCTAGGTACCTCATTTCCTCACAAGTATCGCAGTAGAACTCTGAGGCCATGTTTGTTTGGGCGGACTGGATTAGCATTCCCATGACTAATAGTCCTAGGACTACAAATCCGTTGGATTATGTATCCTATCTTAACTAATAGTCAAGTTTAAAATAATTAGTCCGTACTTCAATTGTTTAACCAAACATCGGATTAATAATTTTATTGGACTATTAGTCCAATCCCAAGCTCATGTCCACCCAAACAAACATGGCCTAAAAGCAAATGGGCAATGCCATAAGGAATAAATTAAGCAGGGAAGAAGATAACTGACATTCATGCTCATACACAAAAATTGTTATTAATGTGTACATTGTAAGAAATGAGTTTACAACTATATCATTCTTCGTTTCCCACAACATCTAGTGTCAGTTGTGGTATCAAAAGTTGACATATGCTTACCTCCTTCTGGATAAATGGAGTTATAATGTACTTCTGCCCAGAAGCTCAAACATATAACTGCACAAGACAAATCATGAAGCTTTAATGCCATCATCTCGACAATGATAAAACAATGTAACCAAGGATTAGCTAAAAAAAACACTTTAAATTTATCCCTCTTACAGTTAGAAATGCAACCAATTGTCAAAGTTGGTAATAAAAAACAGAACTAAATGATATACAATTCTAAGATAATAATAACATGAAACAACTTGAACATGAAGTACAAAATAGATCAAATGAAGCAAGTGGAACAGAAATGGTCAGAGTGAATCATAAAAGCTTGTGAGCTGCTAAGCATGAGAATGCAGGTTGGAGTTTGAGAGCAGCCAGTTTGTGTAAATTTGTCTCCAATCTTACCTCTACCTCCCAACACCCTCAGTTTATGGGGAACAACACTGGCAATGTAATTTTGCGATATGATTTGTGTTTACAACCTTTCACCTCATCAATCCAATTTGAATTTTACAGACTGGAAACAAAATTACCCAACAATGCTTAGAAGCCCTTTTAAGTTATTGAATTTTTCTCAAAAGATTCAGAAACTTCTCCCTAAATAACTCCTCCCAAGGAATCATTAAAACCTCAAAAGAGCTCAATTCCAAACAATCCATTCATTCTTGAATACAATATACAACTAGTGAAATTCTTTTAGACCATAAAAACATATCATCAGCTAAAGTTCCTGATAAAACCAACATGACAAGTTTATGATTGAAAAGGCATCAAAAGCAAGTTGAATTCTCTAAAGAAGACTCATTTAACCTATAAAAATATTTTCATCAGTTTATTTCCTTGATGGGTGAATTAAAAACAGATTTTTTTATTGTTTCCAAACTTAGACACAATCATAAAAACAGGTGACAATGGTATATGAACAGAGAAACATCGTTATTCTCTCAATGCTTCTACCATTAGGTTGTTCCCCTGAGGTAACACTGCAGACACCCTTTCCTGTGTGTCCATTTTACTTTGATGCACTTCATTCCATTTGACGCTAGGGTGCATCATTCTGCATGTTCTTTGTTTTATTTCTGCTGATCACTACCATTTAGGATCTTAATATGGATAACGTGTTCTCAACAAAACTTTATTTTATTTTATTTTATTTTATATATCATTTGTAGGGATATCATATAAACTTGTGAAACATTATTCTGGGTTTTTTCCTGTTTTGTGTTTATTTGACCATGTTTGTGTGTGTTGTGTTGATCACAACAATATATGATAAAATCAGCGTGATCCAGTTATCCGTAATGACTTTCCCACTGTATTAGTGGCACAGAACAACTATTGGAGAGATCAATTGTGCATCAACTTTCAGAACAAAAAATTGAGATGCCATCACTTACTTCTTTTCGACTTTTGAGTGTGTGGAAGAATCTCAATGTAACAAGTATCCTTAAATGACGTTATGATAAATATCTTAACACCATACTGCAATAAAAGTATATCCAAGGATTAGTCATGGATGGGATAAGTACTATATAGCACTATTAACTTGAAATCATTCATTAAAAAACAGAGCCAGAAAAGAAAGTCAAAACTGTTCATTTAAAATACAAATATGTTAGGCCCTTAAAAAATAATAAACAATGTACAAATTTCAAAGATAACTCTACTCTGAATCTGCAAGAGTTCAAAACAAAAAGGAGCCCAAACTAATATCCCATTAATGAGTGTGCTTTAGTTTAACCATCAAGCAAGAAATGCCTTCAAACAGTTACAACTCAATCAATCCAATAAAGCTGAATGAAACCCAAACACAGGAAATTTAATGTTTTATCGATAATACAGCCTGGGGAAAGCCTATGGTGTGCACCCCCTTGGGGGGTGCATACCATATGCACACAAATTGGCATAACTTTATCACAAAATTTTGTAACATCAACCACAAAATGCGTAACCTCACCACAAATTAGCGTAGCAAAATGTCCAAAATTTTGTGATTCATGTTAGAAAAGTTTGTGGCTTGGTTACGAATTTTTTTGTTACAACAATTTGTGGTGAGATTACGCCTTTTGTGGTTGATGTTACGAAATTTTGTGGTAAAATTAGCCAATTTGTGGTATGGTGTATATGTGTGTGCCCCCTTTGAGGTGCACACCATAGAGTTTTCCTTGATTATCACCTATTGTGATATTAATTAAAACTTGGTTATGACTTATTATAATGTTAGTTATGACTCATTCTTATATTGATGATAAATAATTTTGATTATTATTTTAAAAAAGTCTTTGGTTATATATATATATATATATTTTTTTTTTGTAGTGTTCAGTTATGACTCATTATTATTTTTTAGTTATGACTTAAAAAGATTTAATTAGGATATAACTTGTATATGGTACACACTCCAAAATGAATGTGAATAGAGTAGTATGACCTGGAATAATTTAAGTTGAGATTTTAGTAGAATTTTTATAAGTAGAACGAGAATTCTTAATATGATTTCAAATGGCTAAGGCTTCTCTCTAGTCCCCCATCGGAGTGGAGAGGTACTGTTGGGTTTTGTGGGCTCACTTTTAGGTCCCATTTCGATGATCCGAACCTTCACATCTTAGTGTTCGTCAAGAATATCATCCTTGTAAAAAATCAAGTTGATTGAATAACGACAACCATGTGTTTGGATTAGTTTTGTATGGAAAAAAAGAGGCAGTGAGAAAATAAATGGTCCATACAATATTGATCGAACATGTGGTTTCCGTTATCCGATCGACTTCATTTTTTGCAGGAATAATGTACTTGACGAACACTAAAAGGTGAACAGTTCAGATTATCGAAACCAGATCAAAAAATGAGCCCATGTCTTCTATTTTCCTTCCATTTCTCCTACTATTTCCTTTCCTAAGACAAAAACATGGCATATTTGGTTGCAGGGGCTTTGCTCTCTGCCTCCTTTCAAGTGTTATTTGAACGGTTGTCTTCTCCCCAATTGCTGAACTTCCTTAAGAGCTTATTGCATCATAATGAAGGAGATAAACTACGCAAGAAGCTCAAGTCAAAATTGCTGAGACTTAGTGTCGTCTTTAATGATGTTGAGAAACAACAGTTCATTAATCAATTAGTGAAAGATTGGACGGATGAGCTTAAAGATACTATCTACCACGCAAATGACTTATTGGATGAGATTGCGACTAAAGCTTTGGGTTGCAAGGTGGAAGCCAAGTTCTGAAGTGCTGCAAAAAACCAGGTAACAGACTCAACCATGACTTCTGATTCTAGTTTCTATGATGCAGAGCTAGTGTCCAAGATGGAGGAGATCGTTGATAGACTAGAATGGTTTTTGGAAGAAAATGATGATCTTGGGTTGAAAGAAGTTGCTGATCAAAAGTGGTCTCACTCTCACAGATTGCCATCAACTTCTTTAGTTGATGAATCTGGTGTGTATGGAAGGGATAACGACAAGGAGAAGATAATTAAAATATTGCTTTTGGATGAGGCGAGTAGCAATAAGATAGATGTGATTCCAATCATTGGGATGAGTGGTGTAGGCAAAACTACCCTTGCTCAACTTGTTTACAATGATGGCAGAGTAGTTGAGCATTTTGATATGAAAGCATGGGTTTGTGTTTCTGATGAATTTGATGTTCTTAGTGTTACTAAAACAATTTAGAGGCAATTACTTCCATTAATTATGACACACAAGACCTAAATCTGCTTCATGTCAAACTAAAGGAGAGCTTGATGGGGAAGAAGTTTCTAATTGTTTTGGATGATGTATGGAACGAGAACCCTAGTCATTGGGAAATCTTGTGGACTCCTTTCACAGCTGGTGCATATGGAAGTAAGATTGTTGCAACAACCCGTAATCATAGTGTCGCATCTATCATGCAAACCATTCCTGTTCATCATTTGTAACACTTATCGAATGAAGATTGTTGGTTACTTTTTGCTAAAATTGCTTT